TTCTCTGGGTAAAAACGGATAAAGCGTCAAAGTGCATATCAGCTGTTATAGCTCTTTGAAGGTTTATTTCCAGAATATTTCTGGCCTTCGAACAAAATCAGCAGCGGTATGCTCTATTAGCTCGCAAAGGGATTTCGATGTTTTTGTTATTGTTGAGTCATGGCTAAATGCGGATTTCTTTGATGAGGAATTTTTTTATTCAAACATTTATAATGTCTTTAGGAAGGACAGAGATGCAACTAAGACTGGTTGTCTGAGAGGCGGCGGAGTTCTTATTGCGATTCAGCGTAAATTTCATTCGTTCTCTGTCTCGCTTGAAAATGATGATTCCCTTTTGGATCAGCTTTGTGTTCGCATCAGTGCCTCATCTAGTCACGACTCTCTGTTTTTGATTGTTACTTATATCCCGCCTAATAGTAATTATAATCTTTATAAAGCACATGCTGACAACATAATGTCTTTAGTATTAAATAAGCTAGGAGATGACCACCTTTGTGTGTTAGGCGATTTTAATCTTTGTAATGTATCTTGGTCCACATCTTTTTCCAATGCTGGTCTCTCGCCAATTAATGTCAATGCGTCCCATGAAGTGTACTTTATAGATAGCCTCTTAAGCCTTAATTTATTACAAATCAATAATTTTGTTAACAAGTTGGATAGAATTCTTGACCTCATATTTATTAGTGATAACATTAAATGTAACATTGAAGTTTGCCACAATCCGATCACTCCATCTAATATGCATCATGTTCCTCTGCTACTAAAATTTGAATTTTATGTATTCCCGTCTTTCAATGCTGGTGACAAACCTAAGTTTAATTATGCAGCCTGCGATTATCCCAAGTTAGATAGATTACTGGGTGAATTAAATTGGGAAAGCTTACTCTCTTGCCCCGATGTAGCTAAATGCTTCGCTACTTTCAAATCTGTAATTTCTGATTTTTGTTTTAAATTCATTCCAATAATTAGAAAAAGACCCTATAAATTACCGTGGTATAATCGTGACTTGATAAAACTTAAGAATCTTAGAAACAAATTTTATAATAAGTTTAAGGCCTCTGAAAGTCTGTTTTTCTTTGAAAAATATCAGGTCCATCTTAAAAAGTTTAACTGCTTGAATAAATTCCTCTACAGAAATTATATCTTAGGTATTGAATCCAATATCAAAGAAGATCCGAAATCGTTCTGGCATTTTATTAAGTCTAAGAAGAACAACTCTAGTATTCCCTCAGCTGTATTTTTTGAAGATAAATGTGCCTCCACTCCAGCTGAAGTTGCAAATCTATTTGCTGCATTTTTTAGTTCTAATTTTGTAGATGATAACCCTACTGTGGATTCTAGTTTCTCTGCTAGTGTGAATTCTACTAATTTTGGCTCCCTTAGACTTTCGTCTGACGATATTGCTAATGGTATTTTAAATCTATCAGCTTCTACAAAACAAGATATTGATGGGCTCTCTTCAAACTGCTTTGATCTCTCCTTTAAAAATTATTTTCAATAGGTCTCTAGCCTTCGGTATTTTTTATGATGAAATGAAATTGATTTCAATTACCCCTATTCTTAAAAGTGGCAGCAAAAGTGATGTCTGTAATTACAGACCCATTTCGAAACTTTCAACAATTTCCAAACTTTTTGAAGTTATCGTCAAGGAGAAAATGTATTTCGCGATAAAAAGTCTAGTATCACCCAATCAACATGGTTTCGTCCCCAACCGATCTACGGTAACTAATCTAGGCGTCTTTAGTGAGTATTGTATTGCAGCTATCTCGAACGGTTTCCAAGTCGACTGCATTTACACTGATCTTGCCAAAGCATTTGATAGAGTTTCGCACAGTTTGTTGGTCAGTAAGCTAGCCTCACTGGGTTTCCACTCAGTATTTTTGCAATGGCTCAAATCTTATTTGTCGGATAGGCGCTGTGTGGTCTCTGTTAATGGTTGTTCTTCGGAATCTTTCATTGCCTCATCGGGGGTTCCTCAAGGTAGCATTTTAGGTCCCTTACTCTTTGTATTATTTATAAATGATGTGAGTTCTTGTTTTTCATTTGCTAAATTTTTGCTGTATGCTGACGATTTAAAAATTTTTGCTGTGATTGAAAATGCGCATGATGCGCTAAGACTCCGAGATTAATATTCTACACAGCTGGTGTCTCAGCTCTCGCCTTTCTCTGAATATTAAAAAAGTTACTTTTTCCAAAAGTCACAATATTCTTTCGACGTCTTATGTAATCTCTCAAACTCAACTTCAAAAAGTCCAAGAAATCAAAGACCTTGGTGTAATTTTCAGCTCTAATTGGTCTTTTAACAGTCATATAAGTCACATCATTTCTAAATCTTACGCTGTACTTGGTTTTCTCAGGCGTCAGAGCTCAATGTTCTCTGACCCCTATACACTTAAATTGTTATACACATCTTTTGTTCGTTCTAAGTTAGAATATGCTTCTTTTATCTGGAGGCAATACCACTCAAACCTAATTAATAGGATTGAAAGGGTTCAGAAGGTTTTTCTTAAATTTGCCCTCAGAAATCTTAACTTCAGCGAGCCTATTCCATCGTATAAGTCTCGTTTTCTATTAATAGACCTTAAATCTCTGGAAGCCAGAAGATCTTTGCTATCTCTAACTTTTACCTTTAACTTAATAAATGGTGTGATCGATTGCCCTACGCTCCTAGAGCAGGTCAACTTCAATGTTCCTCTAAGGAATCTTCGCAATCCTCTGCCGTTTTATGGAGGAAATTGTAAAACGGAGTATGCCAGAAATGCTCCTATTTCAAGAGCTTTAAACGAATTCAACACGATCTCGAATTCTATCGACCTGGATTTCTCTCTACCAAAAAGTTTATTTATTTTTTCTTTGATGTTAATTTTTTCTTTGATCTCGAAACTGTAGAGTGCTTTATGTTTTACACGTATCGTCTAAGTAGCTAAATTTTTATCTCTAGTCTGTAAGGAACGTCTGTTTCATATGACTGCAATAAATTACAATTACAATTACAATTACAATTACAATTTCGTTTACTTGGGAACCAGCATTAACACCGATAATGTCAGCATTGAAATCCAACGCAGAATCACTCTTGCCAACAAGTGCTACTTTGGACTGAGTAGGCAATTCAGGAGTAAAGTCCTCTCTCGACGTACGAAAACCACGCTCTATAAGTCACTCATCATGCCCGTGCTGGTATATGGCGCAGAAGCATGGACAATGACAACATCCGATGAGGCGGCTCTTGGGGTGTTTGAGAGAAAGATTTTGCGGAAGATTTACGGGCCTTTACGCGTTGGCGACGGCGAGTACCGCAGACGATGGAACGATGAGTTGTATGAGCTTTACAACGACATAGACATAATGCAGCGAATTAAAATACAGCGGCTCCGCTGGCTTGGCCATGTCGTTCGAATGGACACCGACGCTCCAGCTCTGAAAGTATTCAACTCGGAACCCGCTGGTGGTAGCAGAGGAAGAGGGAAGCCCCCACTGCGATGGAAAGATCAGGTGAAGGAGTTGGCTTCACTTGGCGTTTCCAATTGGCGTCAGTTGGCACAGAGGAGAAAGCCTGGCGTGCTTTGCTGAACTCGGCCAAAATCCCTTAGGCGGTTACAGCGCCAAAAAAAGAAGAAGAAGAATTGTTAATAGCTGGCTCTATTTCTCTTATGCTCTAGTTTCTTCATGTATACAGGACACTGTCGGTTAGTTGTCAAGTGGTTCACGTCGAGCCCTAGATTAAATTTTTTCTTTGCACGAATGCAATTGATACACTTGTTTATTTGCTCTTTTGTGCACTCCATTGTTTTATGATTACCCAAGCACTTCAGGCAGACCTCTTCATCCTTGCACTTCGTAGCTATATGATTGAAGCCCTTACATTTGTAGCAGACTAACACACCCATACCATCTTGGACTCTACATTTCTCCCGCCCAATATTTATTTTTTCGCTTTTGAGCACTGCCGAGAACGTATCAACGTCCGTTTCAATGAGCACATTATAGTATCTAGACTTGTCTTTCTTGACTTCAATGTATTTAATAATTTTAAAGTCAGCACTTTTTAAAAAGTCATTTTGTTTTTTTTATCATTTCTGCAAGTTGCTAGCTTTCATATTTAAAGCTTACTCCAAACGCCATAAACTTGGGTTTAGCCGTATTCGGCACTCTAATTTCATAGCGGTCACTCATTTTATTTGCAATTGCGGTCTTTATTTTATCGCGCTCAGATTCCTTTTCGCTTTGAATAACGATTGTACCACTTTTCCTACCCTGCACATTGCTTATTTTTAGATCCGACGGATCAACGTTCATATTCAGGTCTTCTTTTGTTTTCATCGCGTCTTGCTTCTCTTTCGGTTTTATGATCAGGGGTTTCTCTTTATTTATTTTCGGCCCTTTGTGATTCACTATTCCGCTTTTTAAACGCTCAGCTAATGAGGCCTTGCTATGATGGCTTGATTTCAACTCTTCACTTACTGACTTTTTTATTTCTTCACATATTTTTCTACTTTCACTCTCATTTCGTACCATAGCCTCGCATAGATGTTGGCTATGCGTTTCCACATCCTCAGCTACAGCTTCCATCTTATTATTATTATTATTATTATTTAATTGAAAGCAAGTGATGAATCACTTGTTTACACAAAACGGGAGCACTAGCATCCAAGGCCTTCGGCTCTCTTATACTAAGTATATGGGTTTAGATTAAGGATAGTGTGATTTAGGGTACATATATACTTATGATTATAGTTAATATCGAATTTACTTTATATACATTTTTTTAAGTCAGTAATTTTCAGCAACTCATTAACTAATTTTATTTTATCGGACTCAGTTTTCCTTAGTAGACGTAGAAGGTTTGATATTGTCAAAAAGTGCCGTTCTTGTAGCGGTGAAGTTTGGGCAACTATCTAACAAGTGGCAGACGGTGAGGTGGTTAGAACCGCAATAGGAGCATAGAGGTGGTGGAGCTCCCGTGAGAATGTGGCTGTGGGAGATGACTGTATGTCCGATTCTGAGGCGAATGAATGACTTTAATTCGCTACAACTAACATCGAGGGGAAGGTTGGGGCTTTTGCTTCCTATATTCATATC